TATTTTTCCAATCCGGAATTCTTCATCATTACGGCACATTGTACATTGCTGCTTTCACTTCTCAATCATCACTACGCACTCCTCTACTAGTACCGGACGTGGTATTCCATCTGGCAGAAATCAATTGACATTTTCTCTTTCTATTTCCATCCCCGTATCATTTTTCTTTATTTGAATTTCGTCTATTCTATATCTGGGATCCGTGTCTACTTAAAAAAATACTTCAACGCGGTTGATATTTTTCTCGCTACTCCTTTCTTTTGTCTTGATCCATGCTACCCCGGGCCCATTATCCCACAAATTGAATTTCCCTCAAAAGGACTGCTATAATTGCTCTCTCAAGCATGTTCGCCATCTACCGAAGAAAAAAAAGCTCAGATCTAACCGTCCCTGGCTGCTTTTTAAGATGCTCAAGGAACATTTGAGTTCTGTGGGATATGGCAATATCCTATCTGCTGATCTTTTGAGTCTGCTGGGGTTGAAAAAAACCCGGACATCGGAAGGCCATCTCGCTTTGCTACTTGAAGCCCATCGGCAGAGAGGAAGACCCAAGGTGCCTGGTAATAGCTGTGACTCTGTAGCAGCATCCCAACTCTTTTCCACGGCAGACTCGTCAAAAGCACACACCTGGCAGGGACAAACTGTCAGACACATCAGCGGCCGTTGGCGACAGACCTACCGGAGCGATTAGAATGCATCATTTCCGTTATTTGCAGAACAGCGGCCAACACCGCGGAAAATCCCTCTACGAACCGTGTATGTATATCATCAGATAAAATATTTTTATTTAAACCTTAATTGTAGATGTAAAAATGGGGGTAAGAAACCAAGTTTAACAGTTTTTCATTGATACAGTGTTGAAAAGTCTCTGGACTATTTTTGAAGCAGTTATGCATGTTGTGTATGATATTATAGTGTAGAAAAAAAGATCAAGACGATCAGTCAAACTCGAAGTAGTGATTTCTATCTTGTTCATCTTGACCAGGTTAGGCCTATAGTACCAGACATTGCTTACTTCACAAAAACTCCTGAGGCCCATTTTCTTAAGCTGTGCAACACCAAGATAATGTTCTAAGTACATTGAAGCCGAAATAATAGCTGAAAAAAAAGATTTCAATAAAAAGTGATACATATTTGTAATCGTACATGTTGCTACATTGTAAGGTTAAAATTAATTTCCCTCCATAATGATGGTTGACTGGTTCTCGGCAAACACATTTGCTGATAATGTTTGTTTTTTTTCAAAACTCAAAATTTCAATAAAAAAAATAGAGTGGTCTTGAGGAGAAGATGAAAAACTTTTGTCAAAAGCCAATTTGGGGCATGATTTCCTAAAATTTCTTCTGTAAAATTGGTCAAACATAAGTCATTCTGCTACCTCTTTTATATATTATTAATACATGTAAGTTCTGATGTGTCATTTTTTCAAAAACAAGCGCAGGCACTCACAAAACCTGATCGTCAGCCAACTAAGGCTGGTTTATCTTGTTCAGGGTATTTACAATATTTGAATATTTGCTTAAGTCCAAGTTAGAATAACTGAATACTAAATTAGTGCCCTAGCATGAGAAGCTGATTCAAATTAGGCTCTGAAGTGAACACGGAGAAATGACTTGAAAGTTTGAATAACAAATCAGGTGTTATTGTAAACCTGCAGAAGAAGAATAATAATGCGACTTACAGGTAGGGTATATCATTTGTTATTTGTGCATTTTTTTTAAGCTACAAAAGTGCTCAAAATCTATAGGTGCTTAACAACTAGCCTGATGAAGTTTTACCTCTGTGAATGCTGTATACTCTGAGAACACTATATATTCTAGTATCTCGGTTTCAGTTTAAAAGTTGCAGTGTCATGTCTTGAATTGCTCCTGAAACCAAGGTCCAAGACACGTTCTCATTCAGCGGATTGCAGCTACCGGTACGCAATGTCTCGCACTGAACTGACGAATAATAGCAATTGCACGCTCGTGTGCGTCGTGTCAACGCTTGCGCGCACCCATTCATGGATTAGCTGAATTACAAACCAACTAATAACGGAAATTTCCAAAAATTTGTCACTTGATGCATCTTCGGAAATGGCATTCGTTTAGTGTTTTCTTCAAAATGACAGCATGCCAGAAAGAATAATTCCAAAGGGAGTTTGGTGTCATTACTATCTATAAAACCAAGTAAGCTTTTCAACAATAGCCTTGTCAGTTACTTTTTGGATAGCTGCAAATGTTCTACTCTACATTTAATCCAGAGATTTAAATCACATGATGACTTCTACGGGAGACCTGATCTCATTGAACACAGAATGACGCACTCTGTATTTCAGCAATTTTATTGAGTGCTGTGAGCTGTCAGGATTCTTGTTTGATTGTCAGGGCTCTGAAGTTCACACAGTGTGAACTGTGATGTCCACAAAATTGAGTTAACTCTTGCGTGACAATTTAAAGAAACTGTTCAGAAGCTCAATATCCAAGTTTAAAATAAGGGAATAAATATGTGCTTGGCCGCAGGTACAGCTGGCTAGCGGCCTGCATGGTCGTGGATAATCGCCCGAGCCGACTTCCCATTCATAACCATACCTTTTCGGTCAAAACAATTTTACTTCATATTTTGTCAAACACTCTTCTGGCCATGTTTATGGTATTGTGCCTCATGCGCGTAGTGTTAAAAATCTCCTTATATGGAAATTGGTGCCTACACGGTGCTTACTGGGCAATGTGACGCAGAACACAGCGGTGTTGTACTTAGATTTTGGACATTTTTTCTTTGGATTGTGAGTGTTGTTATTATTCGAAACAAATAAAATGCATGAATAGCAAGTGATCCTACATGTATAAGCCTCTGAATAAGCTTGTTGCTCATAATACATGCTCACCATCTTCAGCCCTACAGTCAGATATACTCCTTGTATTGTTGAAAGCAAGATTTTTTCCCTCTCCATCATTCATTCTTCTCTGACCAAGTAATTATATTAAGGTACGGTGGCAAGCTCTCAAGATCTGTGAGGACATATGACCAATAATGTAATAGGTGATCCAAGACGCACTATGCATTAATTTACAGATAATGGGATTTGGTTTTGGAAATATGGGAGTGGGCTTGAGCTGCTTATGTTGGTTGGTTAGTGGGTGGTGGGTTGGTTTACGTTACCTGGCCGTATATTGTATTCAGCTTTGCTTCCGAAGGCCGGTTTTGATAACATTGATGTGCATGCGTCTAATTTGCATATTTTTACATATTTGAGATTACCCCATTCAGTTTCGTTCCTGTACTGTCGGGTTACCGGTACAGCCCGGGTGCGTGCATGAACGGTGCCATATTCATAGGTTAGCCGGATGCCATGGGTTGTACCATTTGTTCTTGTAGTTTGTCTATATTAAACCAAGCTCAAGACTTACAAGTACAAGTATAGCCATTGGCGTTCATGTGTTGTTAATTGTTAGACATTTACACGTACATATGCCTCCCTGAAAATGTGCAGATTTTCATTGTCATGATCTCGATTAATAACAAACACGCTCAATATATGGCTTTTGTGGATTTTTCATTATCCTCCAAGCTCATTTCTAGCATTAACATTTACATTCAGCAGATACATGTATGTTATCAGCCTTCAGGTGAAAGAGGAGTAATCCCAGATTGTCTTCATCTTGGATTGCGATCAAAATTGACACGTCAAAGCCTCTAGCATTGTGCCTGCAGTAATGAATGAAGACTGTCCACTCACTTCAATTTGGTTGAGTGTGATACGCGTACATGTACATGTCATTCCATGCCAAAATGGGTTGTCTTGTAAAGGCCGGTTCATACTTCATGTGAATGCGCATGCGAAGAGAACTTGACGTCACAAACATTTACAGTCGAAATGTGCTCAACTTTTGCGAATATGCAGTGGGAAAACTTACTTTGACATTCGCGCTGAGTATTAACCGGCCTAATACTGACTTTGAAGTAGACTTGGACGAAAGTTATTTTATAAATACACAAAACAGATATTAGATATATAACTCTATGTCGTTTAAAATGAATGCCAACTGTTCTCCATACTTTGGAATTGCAGTAAAACCAATACACCCAATAATGCTTTAATTTCATGTGTTTGCTGCTTGTGTGTTTCTGATCCTCCTTGTTTCGTTGAAGTTTTTGCAAGGTTAAAAAGACAGCAGCGCTTCTTTTGCGATTTGTATATTTCTGGTCACTCCTATTCAGTTTATGTAACTTTGAGCACATAATGAATTTCCTTTATTTGATGATAAAGTTAGAATCCCCATGATTTTTTTCCCTAGACAATGTCTACTACGTGTATGTTGTGTTTGTTTCATGCTTAAGCTGAATTTAGACTTGGCCCGAGTTAAGTTGGGCATTGCATTTGGTCTGTGCAGGATGTGTACAGGCCCACACAGTGAAGGGGTACATGTATACTCTATGGCTCTCGTTGCACCATGTTGATGATGGAATTCAGGGCTGGGTTGTGATGATAGTGTGTGTTGAGGATATTGTTTTAAGTCCGACTTGAGTCAAGTCTAAGCTGAATTAGGAGCATCCTATTTTTGATTTAAAAGCTGAATTGTAAAAGTGTATAACTTTCGCGTGGTCCGATTATTATTATTTTTTTTTCATTCACTGTCTCATTGGAAAGTTAACAAATGATCAATTTGATTTTGAAATTTATTCTTCAGGGTTCCACACCAAAAAAGCATGGTAACCCCTCTTGTAAAGTAATACAGATTTGATGGGATGCATACCTATGTTCCCCCATACCTAAGTTCCCCAATAACTATGTTCCGCAACCCTAAAGCTAACCCTAGCCCTAAGGATTTGGGGGAACTGAGGTATTGAGGAACACCGGGTAGACCCCGGTTTGATGTTGAGACACAATAGCTCACTGTCTTCATCAGCGGGTGTCACTATCACCATGTCATGTGTTTATCAGCATGTCGTGTACACAGAATAATATTTGCAGCAAGTCTTTTGTTTGATGCTTATTCCTCTGGTCTTTTTGCGTACAGGTGTACAAGTCAAGCATTCCGGTCGTTCAAGAGACGCCTCGCCCCGTACCAACACTTACAACACCACCCGGTCCAGCCCCCGAGGGGCTCCCAGTAGCCCCTGGAGTACCCCGCGGGACGTCAGCCCCAGCCCGCCGCAGAAAAGCCCCACGGCTGTGGCCACCGCGGTCAACTTCCCCTTTAATTATCATCCCCCGGCAGTGGCCAGATCCTGCGGGAACCATCATGACAAGAACCCTGCAAGGTAAAATTTGATAACTTCTCTTTTTAAACAGGTGTTTAATTACAATAATTGCCAATTTATTTTCTCAGCTTATCATTGTGAGCCATTTGGCAACAGAGTTACATTTTCAGATGTGATTTTTTGGAGAGGTGAACTGGTTTTGGTCAGACATTGTTCAAATTACATCTCTGAGTGTCCTATCATGACAATTTTTTGATTTTGTATTCGACGACCTAAATTATAGAAGCCATGAGCTGGAACCAGGCTTGCACTCGGGTAATACACACGCACTCCGCTCCTTCGACCAATAGTGTTAGCAACATGCACGCACATCTTGTCTTTAAGAACGCAGGTGGCATGTACGTGAACTTGGTTCCACCTCAAAAAAGGCTTCTAATTTTGCTCGCCGAATTAGTCTTTTGACATACAGAGGAAAAGATTAGATACGAAAACTGCTCCGACAAAACTGAGGGAGCACAATCAATATAGCGTGTGGTGTTCACTAACTGTCCAAAGTTAGCCAAGCACGTCCGAAGTTAGCCAAGCACTTCCAAAATATGGTAAATGGCCAGTAAAGTTTGGATGTCTGATCGTAATTTCATCCTCCACATATACAAGTGAAGCAAGCAGTGGTACCATCTTTGCACTTAGTCAGATCTTCACTTACGTTGATGTCTTTTTGTGTAGCTGTTAAGCACTTTGTGTTTTTTAAAACTGATTTGATGGATTATATTCCAAGAAGAGTATGAACTTAGTACCGATATGCCATTTATTTAGAGATTCTTGGGACCTTAAAATATGTAAATCATGTTTCCTTCTTAGTTGCATGGCTAGTATTTGTCATTTATTTGACAATTCCTCTGTGTACTTTATTCGTTTTTTAGCAGTCACTTGTGAGATTTTTTTAGTGCTTTGATTTTTAAGTGTTAGGTGAATTGCGTATCTGCATGCCGTTCCTGTGAGTATGTGTCTCTGCACTTTGTGACCTGTGGACCTGCCCCTCCTCCTTACCTCCCAATTTGATTGGCTGTGATGTGGTCATGTGATGTGGTCATGTTGCTATGTGAGCTCATTGTTTCGTCCCCCTTCACTTGAAGATGGCTTCATTTTTAAGGTAAGTTTGTTACCTTTATATTAGTTTGTTTTTGTTTTGTATGTTCGTTTGTTTTTACGTTTTTACTGTGGCTTTCTTTTATCACTTGTAGAAGTTGCTTACAAAAGTTAGTAAACCAGTAAGAAGACTGTGAGTAATTGTGCTTACTTGAGTTTTCTGCTCAAAAGAGTTACAATTACATCTAAACCCTGTGTAAGGACTATCGAACTTTCCGATTAATAAACCTTCAGACTATCGAGTGGACCCTAATCTAACATCACACAATATCCATTGCAAAATTCACGTTCAGTTGGAATGTGTTCAACTTGACGTTTTTGCATCCCGAATACTTGCTCCGACGTCACAAATTAACAATGCTTCTGCATTTACACCAAGTTTAAGCAGGCCCTAAAGCACCTGGTTTCAAATTGGATTCTGTTTGTGCTCGTTGTGCCTGGAGAAACAGCTAGGTCACATATTTTTAAATGATCCAAGTTGCGTGTTTTTTTTTTTTCTTGTGAAGATCGTAAGACGGGTACAGCTGTGTGTGGAGTTTTTATTTTGTATTTTTATTTAATAACAGTATGCAATTTGTTACCAGCACAGCTTTTTACAGTACTTGTGTATCATTAGATATCTCGCATGTGACTTTGACGGTTGAATTTTTATAAACGTTTAGCAAACATTTTAAGAACCGTTTAAACGTTGAAACGTTTAGCCATTCACAGAGGCTGACACATGCTCATTATAAGCAGACAAATTAAAAATCACAAACAACACAGAATTTTTGTGTGTACGCCACAGCCAGAAGGTTTTTATTCAAAAAATGTCGGGAATGTAAAGAACCAACCCTACGTCTCATTGGCCCATAGCCAGGCCTTGCCAAGTGTCACAGAACAAGAATTCTTATTGGTTGGTTGCCCCTCCAAGCCTTCTCAGCAATTGGTTAAAAATCGTGGCTGTTGATTGGCTCTTCTCCTGTTTACAGGATCTCACTTTTGTCACAAATTTGTCAATAGGGTTTCATGTACAAAGTTCTTCATAGGAAAGTACAGTATGAAATGTATTCACAGTGATCGAGATGTGTGTGCATGGAGTTAGCCTACATTTTGCACAACACATATAATATAACCAACAGGAGAAGATCAATGGAAATTTTGCTGCTTATAAATAATTTGATCATTTAGTGATAAAATTGATTATCTCTGCAGACCAGCGTGATTGACATGCCAAATCAATAATGGCAGTCATTGAAAAAGTAAAAGCTAAACTACATGTGCCCCGAATGTAATCAAGTCAAGTATTGAAGTGCTTCAAAGGCTTTGTAAATTAAATAGGTTGGAAAACATCGTTAATTATTTGTGCGATGTAGGTTTAACTCAAAGGAAGACTTCGTGAACGTAGGTTCCCTTTCTATAATTCAGGTTTCGTTTAAGTGTTTTTGGAAAATTTGTAAATGAATTTAGAATTGTTGTTCGTTTAAACGTGTAAACGTCACGTCCTTAATATTTCTCTTTTTTATTAATCTCTGAATGAGGATTTAATTGCTGTACTTAATCCGATTAATGGTGAGCGCAATGATAATCAGCTCTTTCAGTAGAAAATTATTTGACTCTAGTGAGGCAGAATTAACTTTCATTGATAATACATATACAATTGTACATACATGTACATGTACAATGGTCCCCATGCGTATTATCTCCCAAATTGAAGCTAAATTATTTCTCACAATAGTTTTTGAAACATGAGTTTCAGAATTAATTTGTTTCCGCCGGTTTCGTAGACTTATTTAGTTGATGCATGAGGACTTTCATGCTAGAATTTGTTTTCAGTCCTTGTCCATTTGGTAACACATGAAGACCAGCCAACGTACATGTATTAGATTCAGTTCCTGTGTCAAAAAGAAGGCTTTTGTTACATGGTCTGCATTTTCATCATCATACGGGTAGCTGTTATTGTTTGGTCCAGCTTTATCACCAAGTTTATGGATACATTTTCAAGGCAATTAAAAATTTGACCTGCATGTTGCTGGAGGACGCAATTTTGCAATACATGCATTGCAAATACACAAATCAGATCTCCTATACAGTATTTGCATTTTATTTTCGTTATTTCGGAGCTATTCGCGCTCTTTAACCTATATTTAGTCAATTTCAAACATGGGCAGGGACTAACTCTGGCATTATAGAATGGATGCCATTTGCAAGAAATAAGTCAATGGCTCACCGTCTCGAAAGTGATACAGTGTATCGGCGCACTTTTCAAAAAGTGTTACTGATAGGTGTTGTTCTGTGTGGAGGATACTAATTGGGATATTCGCTCGTACCCCCCGCCCTGCAAACAGGACGCTGGGATACTCTGATGAGCTTCACAGAATCTTGTGAAGGAAGTGGCCTATGACCCATGTATAAAGCATCTGGCTGCAGCTGTTCAAGACTGCAGTTAGACAATGTGCGCAAATACTATCCGAAAACTTCCCATAGAAATGCACACGTTCCATACTGGATGTGATTTCTGTTTCATTGCGGACCATGTGGACAAAATTTTGAGCGTCGCATAATGCAACCCGACCGTTCTTGATTCGAAACGGAGCCTAAGCAAGTGACGGGAATTGTAAATTTACAACACAGATAAGTTTTACAGAATTTCTTACATTATTACGCTTTTCAACGAAAAAAACCCACCAAATCTCTAAACTGGAATAAAAGAGTAATGAATCAGTCTTAACGGCCGTTTCAAACCTTGCAGAGTCATGACCGTGATGACGCGCAGGTCACAGGTCACACATAATCCAACCAATCAAAGCGTGAATTCATCAGAGTATCCCAGCGTCCTGTTTGCAGGGTGGGGGGGGGGGGGGGGGGGGAACCGAGGGAAATTGGGATATTTCTTGTTCCCCCTCTCCCTTCCTAGTCTGAGTATCACCCGTTATCCACGGGGCCAAATCCTGTATAACGTCGATTTCTCCAGACATACAAATTTATGCGAGCCGCGCGCCAGCCAATCAGAGTCGACTTTACTAAATCGTGACGTCATTTTATTCCCAAATCAGGTCTAAAACTGTGATTGGTCAATTCGAATGTAGTGTTTTGTAATACAACAACAGCCGGGCGCGCATTTTCGCGTAACATGATACAGAGCACCGTGACGGCACAGTTTTTTTTATCCATGTCTACAATGTATGACGCGTAACGGGTGAATGACGGAAGACCCAATATAGAAAGACCCGCTGATTGGTCAAAATCTAGGAGGTCAAGAGGCGAGGTCTTGCCTAATTAATCAGCAAATGTGTTTACGCGTAATAGACTACTCCCTTCCCACCCCCCCCAAAAAAAAAACCCCAAAAAACAAAAACAAAAAAAAATCAAAGAAACAAAACAAAACAGAACCTGTAAATTAATTTGTGGAATGGACTCCATCAGTCTATAAAATCACAGTCCTCAGTGGGCCGATTCAAAATCAGTTTCAAGAACCATCTTGTGTCCCGTTATTTAGCATAGTATGTATTCTCTTTCTCTGTTCCAGCAAGCTATTTTGCTCCCTATTTCCTCCTTGTGTTTATTTAGTCTCATTATGTAAATCTTTGACCCCTGCTACATGTATCTGCATGTCCGCCAGGCCGTCCTTGGTTACTGCTTGTGTTTCGTTTGTACTTGTCTATTGGTTTGTCTGTTTCTCTATAGATTCTGTATTTTTACAGTTTTGCATTGAGTATATACATTGTATGTAGGCATGCCTCTATACATGTAAGACTCAGCATTTTAAAATCATGCCTCGTTCCATCTTAACATAACTACTGTTCGTTTTCATGATGCTTTTACTTTGCTTTTGATGGAAATAATGTCATTGAAATTGAATTACATGCATGGTCACAAAATGCATTATTCAAAGTGTGTTCTAAAAATGTGTAAGAAGCACGAAGATGTAA